ATATTCATGTATGTGTAAATTTATTACAATAATTGCAGGTGAGTCACGTAAATTTATGTTTTTATAAAACAAGTAACCCCCCCGACCGATTTCCTAGGGGAAACACTGACCAGGGTTTTTCAAATCAATTTTTCAGTGGGTCACAGTTACTTAAAGCCAACAGCTCAGGGGACAGATGTTGGGTGGTGCTGGAGGGACACAATGATGGTAGGGGAAAACTGTATCAGATAAAATAATTACCTTTGATCTTTTAATTTTGTTGCATTGAATCATAACTTTAAAATTGATTTCAAATTTATTTTATAATGAACTAAATTTTATTTTATATTTTTTCCTTCATCATCAGGCTGGACAAAATCACCCACAGGACCGCTATTTGAATAGCCCTGGTCTACACTGAGCAAGCAACARTAATGGGCAAAGACTTGTTTTTATAAAGATAGAAAACAGAGCACTCACCTGTTCCAAGTTCTGAGGGACGACTGGACCCTGAGCCAGTCTGCACAGGAAGCACTGAGCCCTGGTTCCTGGGTGCACTTTCATCCAGACTGATCTTCATGAGCACATCTGAGAGGCGGTGGGCTGCAATGAAGTCATCTGCGGTGTTCCTGCATTGCAAGCAGGAACAGAAATAATTATTACCACATTCAAATATTATTGAAAAACTATATATTTATCTAAAATAAAAAAAGGTTGGTTGTACTAATATAACCCTATTGTCTAAAATACAGAGTAGGTCGTCAGTACGGGTTCTTCTTTGTTGATAACTCTATTGGAAATGAACTCTAATGGAATTTATAAACAGGAGAACTGTTGTGGCATAAAAATTACATTGGATTTGTTGAGTCCTAGAATTGCTTGAAGGAATATTTGTCACTTTTAAACTAAAATCAGTTTATGATGAGAAGTGACAAACATGAAGCAGTTTTGGCCAAAACTCAAACACAAAGAGCAGAGGCATCAAACTCACAAGTCATCTTTGAAGCTGAGGGCAAACTTGGGCTGTTCTACAACAGATGAGTTGGTTTGCGGCAGATCTCTGCTCTCCAGATATGAAGCCTCAGCAACATCTTCTCTGTAAAATGAACACAACCAACATTTTTCACAAAGCAACACAACAATAAAACTCCACACACGTCAGGAAACATAGAGAAACTTCTCGAAACACAATTCTTTTCTTGACAACTGTTTTACATAAATATTCGGTATTTTAAAACAGGTTCAGCTTGATAAATTTGAATATTATTGAAACATTATTGTATTTCTGTAATTCAGTTAAAACAGTCAAATTCATAGATTCATACCAAAGTGTTGATCAGTTTGATTAAAATGGCTTTTAGCCAAAACTCTGCTTTTTAGAAAATTACACTATACTATGCAATTACACTATACCAGTATCGGTATCGGGTCCGATACCAGCATCAAGTACTCGTACTCGTAAAAGCCGGCCGATACTCTTAACCGATACCGCTTTTGTCCCCTTTTTTGTCCCCTCCTCTGCTGCACTGCAGCATAAAGGGTAAACAACAATCCATACCAGGCGGGGGCACTAACGCACTGACAAGTTATTTCCGACCACACCCCAGAATAACAG